TGGAAAATTTAAGGAGTTATTATTATGTACGTTTAGATGATACAACCGGTAGGATACTTTTGCACGTTACTGTAGCTGATACCTTTGCGTGCAACCTGGATCTCACACGGATTGCACGGTTCGGGAAAATGTGTCTGGATGACCTTGTGAAGAAGGGGGTGAAAGGGCCAGTCATTCCCCTCTTTCAGGTAACAGGGCAGAAGATGTGCATGTATTCCTTCTCCCTGTTCGCGGATGGCATCTATCTAATGCTGGAGACGGGATGCGTGTCTCTGCCGATGGCAGTTAGTGAGTTGCTGCCGTTTGTCGACGATCTTGAGCATTTATTGGGATTCCGGGAACTCTGCTCCGATATTGCCGATCGCCTGTCTGGGAAGAGTGTGGCAAACGACGACCAAAGCCAAGCAAAGCACCTCCGGAAGACTCTGACGACGCCGCAGTTTCGGCAGGTGGTCGATAACACCAAATCCCGGAGGAGAAAGTCCAGCATTCGGCATGATTAAGAGGACCTTCTTTGTAAGTGACGTCAAATGTTCACTTTGTCTGGTTTTGTTGCAGCACGCCCCATATTAAAAGCCCCATTCTCAATGTCTCTGCAAAAAAGAAACAATTGAACCGAGAATATATTGTAATAGTTGTTATCATACATGGAAAGTTTTCAATTATCTATGACCCAAAAAAAAAAGTTTATTGAAGCAATAAAATCTTGATATTATATCATGACCAAAAAATTGTTCCTAAAAAAAATACTTTCGCTATACATTTGTAACCCTGAATATGCCGATATACAAAAAAATTTTTTCATACTATGACCAAATATTTTGTTTCTTTTTTTCATACAAATTTTGTCGGCGGAAATAATTTTAATAATTTTAATAAATTTCAATCAGGGTACGATTAAGCGTAAACTTTGTAAAAAAGAAAAATTTTGAAAACCTTTTCCCTAAAACCCAGCAGTTAAATGTCACATATATTTTTTGATACCCTCAAATTCAACCTTCATATAAAGAGGAGAAAATTAATTCTTTTTCCTTTTACACGAGACACCACACCTCTAACTTGTTGTCTTTCATATAATATTTTGACGCTGTCTCGTAATCATCTTGTCGTACAATAGAAATATATTCGTTATCCTCGTCCCGATACAGTAATTTTTGAAGTACTGTTAGGTTACATTGTTTTTTAATTTGCTCTTTAACATCTTCGAAAGGCATGCCGGAATGAATTCTGATAAGGCGAATTTCGTCCACCGAATGGCATTTGAGGATAATTTCAGTCTGTGGCTTGAAAGGAATCATCGAGTGGGTGGGGAATAAGAAGGTTATTGGATAAGTCGATCAAATAATAACTATAATGATTTGGTATAAACATTTTGGTATCCCTAAGACCTTATTCACATATCACTCATGTTCCCATTCCACCATACTCAAGCTCACGTTCCCATTCCACCATACTCAAGCTCACCTTTGGACTTGGTTTGCTCGCAACATCGTTCGTAACTTGGTTTACCCATTTTGATACTTGATTTCCACTATTGTTAACTTTATTACAGTATAAAACGTATTGTATGTGCAATCCTATCATGTCTATAGTTTGTTGTGGCGTTATGTTGTTGACGTACATGTCTATATTCTCTGCTCTATCTGGTAAAGAAAAAGAGAGGAGTGAATTTAATCGGAATTAGGTAACATAATAGGATTACGATTATCGACTGGTAAGAGACTACATACCCAAGTTATTTCTGACAAAATCCACCCCTTCGTAATCATCACGGCTACTGTACGCAATCTGATATAAATAATATTCACATTATTTCACATTAATTAGCACGTAGCGAAAAGAGAGAAAGAGAGAGAAAGGGAGAGAAAGGGAGAGAGAAAGAACGATTAATCTCGTTCCAAGTTGCAGCTGATACAGATTACTCATCCAGCACATACATTCCAGATGGTTCTTATCTCCACACAACCCCTCATTCTTCGATTGCAATCCTTTGCCTCTCCCATCTCCTCCTCCTTATTTCCGGGCTAGGCCTACTTACAAGATTTTTTGCCCCCAAGTTAAACTTTAATATCAAACATCTTTCATCTGACTTGGTAACTCCTTCTAAAGCTTGTAAAGGAACGTGAATCTTTCCCTTGCCATTTTTTAAAAATACACTACAAGATCCTTTGCAGAATTTATATCTAAATTTCAACAAGGAGAATTCGTTTGTATCGTCGGACATCTCACGGTATTCATCCATCTCCAATTTATACAAGTAAATCTCCAAATATCGGCGGGCTGGATGGGTTACCTCCTTGTTTCGTGAATAACTATGTCTATAAGATGGTCTGGGAGAACGTGAAGGATAATAATGTGTGGCGGAAGGTGGGCGGTAGCGAGGTGTATATGTCGACGAAGACGACGAAGACTGTGAGCGAACCTGAGAAATGAGAAGAGGGGTAAAGATGAGAGTCCTATAGTTCGTTGGGGCGTGTTATTTGGTGAGCGACCCGCTGAAGTATTTACCCATTCAATTTCCTCCCCGTCGCGATCAGTTTTCTTCATATTTAGTTTAAAATGTTCTCTATATGGGACTTGCCAACAGACTCTTTTTCTATATAGTATTTGGCGTATTGACGTATTATAAGGACAACGCCTGAACAATGCTAAAGGACGTGTGCATATGGCTTCATTTACTTCTCCTAATTGTTGAACGAGCAGAGTTTCAAGATTTTAAATAACGTATGACGTCATTTGCAATTGCTTTTTTTTTCTCAACGCCCATCGGCCATTTATAAGATGTGGTATTTTTGAGAGTTGGAAAATAAATTTCTCCGTATATAGACGGAGTCACTGTTTATGGAATCTGTAATCTTTATTATTATAGGGAGTCTATAGTCATCTACATGCAATACTCTGAAATGCACCCATTCGATCGTTCCAAGATTTTCAGGCTCATTCGACGAATTATATGATTTTACATTAAAGAATTTACCACCGATTTTTCAAACTGTAGATAATTTCCCGTCGTCTGTAGCTGCAACTGAAATGTGTCTCAAAAGGGCAGATTAAGTCTCTCTGCTATATTATATATTCGTGTAATCGTGAGCATTTTTGACAAGTTTACTCGAGAACGCGTCAATCGCAATAGCTGTGTTGAATTCGGAACTCAAATTGTACATGGAGGCTCATATCCAATATTTATGTTAAACAGTTTTGCCAAATCTTCCTCAAAAAGACTTTTTGCAGAAAGACATTCTTCGAACAAAGAAAACTAACGCTTTGTCATATTCATAAAAGGTATTAACTGATGGCGACGCTAATGACAAAAAACTCCGATTAGAAACTGGGGTTAAAAATCGACTAATCTAAAGTAATGTTAGATCAAATTTACAGCATACAAAAGGTGCTGTATTTCGCATAATGTAATAAACTTTACATTCTGTATCTGTTCGTTCGAGCCGTCAATCACTTTCGGCTGCTCTCCATACTCTAATCTGAAAGGGTCGGCTATAACATATTCGCTTGGTGAGTGTGTTCTACGTGACTACCGATTTCCATGGCGTGTCTTCATGAAAGAAATTATTTGTTGAAACAAGACACCATAAACTTTAAGCGCTGATAAGAATTAATTTCTCGATTTACAGAGGGCGGCTTTAAAATTTGAATAAAGATTTATTTTTAGAAATATTCTGGATTATCTGCACATACAGTATATACTGGAGTTCAGGGATTGCATACACGGTGGGCTTTGTCAGTAACTTACGTACACCAGAAAAAGTAAGACTTCACCAACGGTACGAATACTTCCATTCCATCAACTTTCTTATAGAAATAAACACTTGCTTTTGGTTATTAACCATAGGGAAAGGATTGTAAGCAATATTAGTTCGTTATGATGAGCCAACTCTTGGATTTTGCTTGCTAGAGTTCTAAGGATTACAAAGTTAATTTTACTTCAATATTTAATTTTCAAGTTAAGAGACAAAAGTCGTTTATATGTGTTCTGTAAAATTTGGGGGTTTTCCGTAAACTCAGTGCAAAATAAAGTGACTGAAACTAACTTACTACTATATCTAAAGTCCTTGACCTAAAAATCCCCCACAAATAAAAATATACTTGATTATTTGAGATCATCTAATCAAATCTTTGTTATATTAGACGCCCGTGTCTTCTTGATATATATCGGCATTTTGATCTTTGTAGAGAAAATCTTTGACAATCATCACGCTCACAAAAATAGATGGAATATTATCTTATCATCAACGCAGTAAAAGCATCTTCACGTGAGAAATTCTTGACACTCAGCGCAGTATAGGAAAAAAAAAACCAAAAAAAAACACACAACCAAAGCGTAAATTATCTAAAAGAGATGGATTGCAATGTTCCGAAATATCAGTAATATTACATTCCTTTTTTTTTTTTTTTAACTTGCTAACTTCTTATGATCTGTATTAGTGGGAATAACAATAATTCTGTAGATATGTGGGGAAATTTGTCTTAGGTAGAAAAAGATTATAGGGATAAGAATTTACTAATTAGCGATGTACCCATAATAATATTATTCGATTTCAAATCGTGTAATTATTTCATTCGTCGTTGCTAATTCGCAAATACATATAAATGTCTGAATTCTTGTTATACATAAAGATGACCACTGCTATTATATCTACTTGCAGTAGAAATAATAAGTACGATTTACGCTAAACATATTAGATGTTAATTTCAAACGTGATAAGCTATTACTATAAACAAATGCGCGCGTTTTTAACTTACAACGCTACACGCAAAGCGTCAACACTTATAGAGACTGCTGAAACGAGAACAACGAACTGAAAGAATATTACACGACAAGGCAAATTAGATGAGACAACATAAGCTACTTACATAAACGGCTATTTGTTTAAGAAAAGAGTTTCTGATTTTAGTTAAATTATTATTACACAGTCAGTCTCGATAAGTCGGTTTTGGCTTAAGTCGGCCAAAATCTTGATAAGTCGGCCAATCTAAGAACATTTTTCATAGTCTCGGTCAACATTGTTCTTTCACGAAATGTAAATTATTAAAATAACCCGTCGACTTTTAAAGTTACATACGTTAACCATTGGATGATTACTTATTTTCGTCTCGCACACTTGTTTCTGCGTTATCGAGCGCAGTAAATAGCATACCGTAATTCAAACTTCGTCTTCATAATGAGTCGAGGAAAAAGACCTGTTAAGGGCAACTTCAAAATGGTTGGTGTGGCAGAAAAATCAACTAATGTAGCTGATTAGACTTGGGAGACTTTGCTTTAGTGGGCACGGTTGCGGCTCATGCACTATTTTTAGTGACATTGCCTGACAAACATAAAAACGCAACCTTTTTACCTCAGACTGCTCTTCGTGACTGTCTTTGCCCACGACGCGAATACTGAGAAGGATTGGCAAACCATGGTCGAGCTAAGTATTTAATTCTTGCGGCTACGTAAATTAAAATGTCAATTTGCCTACAGAGATTGTTGCAATCGTATGCTTGGCGAGGAATATGATTTCACAGTTTAATAATGGTACGTTCGCATGATAGTAAACAGGAACAAAAGATAGTATAATATACGCACGTATAAAGCACGCTCGCTTATCAACAATTTTCTTGTTAACGTGTTAGTATAGAATGCTTGTTATGAGGACAAAAAAACTGCTTATAGTTAATCTTAGTTGGAAATGTTTCAAATTTCAAGTTACGTTCCATAATATCTAACGTTTTTTTCTGAATATAAACAAACACCATAAAGACATACGAATGACTTAAAAAGAATTAAGGATAGAATAATTGACACATTTTACACTAAGTCAATGAATATAAACCATACTTACACTGATAGCAAATTTTATAATAATGTTATCCTCAGACGAAACGTTAACTGTGCATAGTAAAATGAATTCAGCAAAGTAACTGTGATGTCCAATATCAAAACTACATTGTATTTCTTCAGTTAATGTTTTTATCTACAAATCAATTATTATGCAATTAAGACTGATCAACAATATTTATCCGATACTCACTACAATTGTAATTGTCATTGACTTCTGATATCAAATGCTGAGTTTGTATTTATTTGGAGGTACTTGGAATATTATTTTTGGTTTTTAAGATCATCACTCATTAAATATTTTTGCATCTGTGTTATTTCCAGCATTATACATTAGCATTATTCATCAATGTCTGTAATATAATGTTGAACATTATCATGTATTATCTGTTGTGGCAAATAATAATACACTTTCACTTTATCCTTTCTAATTTCACTTTTGCAATAATAATAAGGGCACTCCAGGTTGTTTAATGATAAAAGAGCCTCTGAGCTAATTATAATAATATGTTGGCAATTAAGCTGATAAAAGTCACCAACTGCTTCACAGACAATAATGCATGTCAGATCTTCCACAATATAATCAATTGGACTTTTCTCAACACTTTTCCCTTTTCCTTTGTCTTGTTGTTTCCTATTTTGAGCATTTACCATTAATGAGTACTTTGAAATCATTTTTGATTCAACTTCTAATTTCTCTTTCAGGTAATAGTACAATTGTCAGCGGTTTTCTTCGCGAGGCGGCTGCGCTCCCTCACCGTGGCAATAGAGCTCTGTAGTGTCGATGCTTAGTGATGAGGCCACCGACTTAGCCAACTTTATTATATTACTTAAGTATATCTTTAGAATTTTTTCCCTAATTCTTTCTTGCTAGACGAATGATTTTACTATTGCTAGACGAATG